CTAAGGAGGGGGGGGGGACACACAGTGTGAACATACGTGGGCCTCCCCGTTAAAGTGCACAGCTGGAGCCTACTGGATTCCATTAGCCAACGTCGCTATAAAATAAATAAATGAATGAATAAATAAACAGACAGACAGATAGATGGATAAATAGATAAATAAATTTTTTTTTTTAATTTGACTCTTAATGCTCAATTTAAAATGTTTTGTCTACGGCCATGCCACCCTGAACACGCCCGATCCCGGCTGATCTCGGAAGCCGAGCAGGGTCGGGCCTGGTGAGTACTTGGATGGGAGACCACCTAGAAGACCAGGTGCTGTAGGCATAAAAAATAAAAATAAATTTTTAAATAAAAATATTTTCTCTTTCAAAGTTGTTCGAGCTTTGCTTTTGTCACTGACCTTTGGTTTGGAGGGAGACGTTTCAGGGTGGAAAGGCGATTAGTGAGTTAAAATGTCAACTTCGAATCGAGGCTTTGAGTCCTGGCTCTGACACTAAGTTTTTTTCTTGGACAAAACACTAGGTTTGCGGCTTAATTTCCCTGTGTATAAAGAAGGGAAATTCTTCGCACGGACGCTCCTACTCCGAGAAGTAAGCGAGCCAACCCAGCGCGTCTGACGCACACGCGTCACTGACGTAACGTCAAACCCGCTCTGGGGGAGGAGGGGGGAGCGTCTCGGAGGGCAGGCACGAGAACCGCCGGGCCCCCTTTTCCAAACAGGGAAACCGAGGCACGGAAAGGGAAGCCGATGGTCCGCGGGCGCCCGGCTGGCGTCCGGCACCCTCCCTGCTGCCGCCGCGTGCATCACTTTTTATATCGAATGGTCACAGCAATGACGTCTGTGTCCCCGGGGGGTAAATCGGCCCCTTGAATGAAAGAGCGGCAGACGGAGGACCCCGGGGCTGACTCGGTTGCCGTGGAAACGGACGAGACCCGCAGGGAGTGGGGGCGAGCATGGTGCTCCCTCCAGGGCCACGAAGCCGGGTTGGTTTAAGTTGCTTATTTTCACTTTTATTTTTAATAAACTCCTTTCCTGTACTTTTTTTAATATGTCCGCTTTTGTTAATAAAAACATGGTTGTAACTCCAGGTGTGTAAGTGGATTCTGGCCCATTTTTAAGCCAGTGGCAAAGGAGACCATCACAGGCCCTGTTCTGCTCCATTCACGGCTTGACCTTGCCTCAAAGGGGCAATTTAACAGTGGAGAACCCACAAGGTCACATGTGTGCTCCACACGACAGGGGGCGGAAGGCGTTCGACGCCTCCTGCAGCTTCTTCTCCCTAATACCCGTCAGGAAGAAGCCTTTAAAACCTAGAGGCTGAACCAGCACTGGCGAGACAGTCAGGGGCACCCAGGGGCCGTGGCGAGCGGGCCCCCCGGAGACCCAGGCCCGCAGCATCATGTGCTTAACGTGAGAAGCGTCCGGAGCCGTGACCGCCATGAAAGATGAGCGAGGCGGCCGTGTCAGACACGCCCATGAAACGTGGGGTGTTTGAACTGCGTACCCCAAACTCAGTGTAGAGACAGATCAGTGTCAGGACTTCACCGACGGAGTAAGAGCCTCGTGACACCTGACGAGGTGTGTTGTGCCTCGTCACGCGTTCCACGTGGAGAAGAAGAGGCTGCATTATCGCCTTCCAGACGAGCGGCTGCGGCCTGGAAGCAGCTGTTGGCAGGACCCGCCCGGTCACTGGGCTGAGTGTAACGCCTGCAACGATTCTATTTGCTAAGTGACGGGTTTGCGCCCAAAGGACGGGCGGGGTCTGGCCACCCGGTGCCCGCCCTCCGAGCACCGGCTGCAGGCTGCACGGCCTGGGGCATGGCAGCGGGGACTTCTGCTCAGAGCCATCAAGGTCACGGGAACTGTCACGGACCAGAGGGGACTGGGGGAGGGGACCCCCGAACACAACCTGTGTCCCGAGTGGGACCCTGGAGAGAGGCAGACACGGACCGGGAAACCAGTGCTGTCCAGATGCCACCTGGGGCCGAGCCTGCCCAGCGCCCGGGCCCGACACGCCCCGTGCATGAGACGCCGACAGCCAGAAGCTGTCGAGGGACACGGGCTCCCTGCTCCAGCCTGTGCGTCCGAGGTCACTCGAAAATAAAACTTATTTTCAAAAACATTACAAGTCAAAACTCTGGAGACAGTAAAAGGTCAGTGGTCGTCGGGGTGGGGGGCAGGCAGAGCACGGGGTGTTCGGGGCAGCGAGACGGCTCTGCGTGACCTGTCACGGTGGACACGGGTCAATACTTGTTTGTCCCAACCACAGAAGGTGCCACCCCACAGTGACCCCGATGTGGACTGTGGACTCTGGATGACGGCGACGGGCAGGGTAAGGTCACCAGCTGTAAACGTGCCGCCGGGCGGGGGTTGATCGTGGGGGGCCGTGCGTGGGGAGCTCCCTGCCCTGACCCTAAAACTGCTCTAAAAAATAAAGTCGATGAGAAAACTTACCGGACTTGAAGAAATTCAAAATTATTTCGTCCTTTCCCGTGACCCACGACTGCTAAACAAAATGACTATCGAAACTGGAAAACCAGCGATTTCTCCTTAAGCAAACAGAGGTCAGACACGGTGAACCCCGCCGCCCCTTGGCCGGGGTGTCTGGGGACCGTGGCCCACTGTGCGGTGGCGTCACATGCGCCGAAGTTCACCGTGCAACAGAGAAGGCGACGGGCATCTCCAGTCGTCACTAATGCCCACTTCACCTGCTGTGGGAACCTGCTCGCCCGGCTTCTGTTGTTGGGGACGTGTTTAAATTTCAGGGTTTCTCTCATTACCGTAGGAAAACATAACGCGACATCACAGAGTTCGAATGGGCCAGAAAATATTCTGAACGGGCAAAAAGCCCTTTTTGTTACGTAGCGACACGTTTAACGTGAAGCTAAACTGTGGAGATCGGGTTTTTATGCCGAGGAATTTCAGCCTCTTTCCAGCCAAAACAGGAAGGACGAGCTCGAAGGAGGGGTACGCGGACGCGCCGCACGCCGCGGCCTCACTGGACACTGCGCCCCATCAGCCACGCCTCGACTTTTCCTCCCGCAGCGACCGCGGTGAGTGAGGATCTTCTTCGTCTGTCAAATCCCTACCAGCCGACGAACACCCCTCGCAGGAACCTGGCCGTCGACCTACGCGTGGCGCTGTGCCCTCGAGAGTTGAGGGTCCACAGCAGGGTGACGGCTTAGCACCTATAAGCCGGCGCGAGGCGTCTGCCTTCTCGGGAGCTGTGATATTGTGGCTATCTCTCCCGGCCAGGTGCTGTCACCTGTCACCACGCCGGGAGGGGTGAAGCTGTTGGAGGGGCCCGGCCGGCACGTGGGATGGTCAGGCTACCGGCGGGGACCTGCGCCTGACCCACCGTTTCGCAGGAGGCGGCGAATGCAGTCGACGGGCCTCGGGACACAACCACGCAAGCCACACGTCACGGTTTTATTAGCGTGAAGCAAGAGAAAACAGTGTCACACGGTAGCCCCGGCACACACAGCTCCTCGACCAGGCGTCAGGGCCCTGCC